TTATAAAAAAAAAAGGAAAGTTTATATTTAAATCAAATTCCTTAATCTTATCTTTTCAAAAAAGGATAATTAAGATATTTATAAACTTATAGAAGATTCTAATCAATCCTAATTAGTTTAGGAATAGGATTAAACCTTTGGACCCTCCTCATAATCATTGGGTCGTAGGTAAAATCCGGTTTGGGCCCAGTTTAGTATTTTGGCCATAACTTCCTCGATATTCATCGGAATTGGGCTTATAATATATCGTTGGAAAGGTTTTTTTAAACCCCATCCAACTACACTACTATTGGACCCATATCATGGACCAAACTAAACTGGAATGGACGTTTTCATAAAATAGAGTGGGTTTTCGAAAACAGAAAGAAAGAATTTTAACAAAAACTAACCGCAACACTAGACTTTTCACACTTTCACCTCATTCGATTATGGTTTGACGTGAAATGTATTCATTACTGGGTTTGGTTTTGGGGAGACACAAATGGGTATCTACAAATATGTTTTGATTTTTTTTATATAAAGGAGTAATGGCTGATAAAGGAGTAATGGCTGACCAGAAGTTCACCAAAATAACTTATATATTATTGTCAAATATCAAGTTATCGGAAGCTCACCAAATACACTATTTAAGTCTTTAACAACCCAGAAGATCATCACCTACTAGAATTACGAGCAAGTGATTTATGCTTGTATAACAATTTTTTTGATTGGGGCTATTATATGTCAGCACATATTAAATTGGAGAAGAAAGAAAAACGTACAACTGCACAACATATGTCTCCCCAGTCCCCATTGACATTGATCTCCAGAAGAGAAAATATTATTGAAAATTTAATAATAAATACACATGAAATATAAAGTTAATGAATAAATGATTCTTCATCGAAATTGTTCTCCGGAAGAGATGAATTTTGATTGTGATCCTCCCAATGAAATGAATTTTAATGCAAATTTATATACTAAGTTGGTATAGAATTAGACGTCCCTATAAAAGAGATATTTTACCAACTTTGGAGGAGAAGAAATAGCAAAAGTTGGAAAAATCGAAAAAAAAATTAAATAAATAAAGAATATTTATGATCCCTATAATGGTAATTTGAAAAGTTATATATATGCCAACTTTTGTATATATATTATCATGTTCTACATTTATGATTTGATTTGTATTCAGTTATGACTCATGTTGCATAGCGTTGAAGATACATTTTGGTCATATTAATTATGTTTATACATTGAGATAAAATCTTGCCAATTGTACTTGAATCACTACACCTGAAGTGCAGGTTGTATATGACCGGTTCCAAAATAAAGATTTGTTTAATAGATATGATATTTGGCAAGATAGTGCAGTTGACACTAATAGTGTAATAGTATATAAAGACCATTGTGTATGAAATATTCTAAAAGTGATATAGATATCTGAATTATTATAATAGATGGCCTATGATGTAAGAAAAGTTATGATGGTACCAATGAGAAATGTATTCAGATATCATAGTAAAATAGCATGCGGAATGTAAGTTAAAGGAATTTTATAATACCGATACATAATGGAACCGATGAATAATATGCATATGCATAATGGAATGGACTAATGAGTAAGGGATCTGAAATATATGTACATTTTGATGTCGACATAATGATAATGATCATAAGTTTATCATGGACCCGAAGTCCAATGAAATATGGATTTTTAAATCCACACTGTATAGTGTCTTGCATCATTTTGAGTCTTATATTCATGTGCATGTGAGTCATAGGTTAATTGTTTATTGCATATGTAGGAAGTTAGATGCATTACTCATTGTATAATTTGTTTAATATGTTATCATGTTTTATATATCTCATATTGCATGGATTAATTTCTTACAATGGTTGTGGTGTATGTGAATGTGCATTCAAAGTATAGTAAGACATATTTACAACTTTGATGAAAAATTAGAAAGAGATATTTATATTCCAATGGGCTTATAATTGTAATGAAATTATTGATGACACCTATTTAATTGCACGTTATGAATCATGTAAGAAGAGTTCCTGAAGAACTTATATACAACGTATTTATATATCTAGCCCTACAAAGTTTATCTCTAGAATAATGCAATTACTATCAAACTCTTGAAAAGTCTATGTAAATACATCAGTGACATCTCAACCTGAAGTTTGAGCATATAAGAGTTAGTGAGATTTACAATTTGTATTCGCAGAAAATTATCGTGTAGTTAATTACGAAAATTCTAAAGATTCGGGATACTTATGCGTGAGACTGTTTTCTTATGGTCCAGAAGAACCATGATCAATGTATATACTTATCTATGTTATAATTCATATGAGATTGAAGAATGACATTAATAATGTCAAGTTTTGTGATCAAATGATTATTAATAAATGTTTGATCAAATAATGATCATCAATTTCTATTATTAACAACTTCCAGAAGAAGTCATAATTGCATAAGTTTAATTTATAAATCAACTATTAAACAAAGATTTGAAATAATGATATTAGAGATAAACACATGTATGGTGAAATGAAGACACTTCACATGTTCACGTGAAGACTTGAGGAATTGAAGATGCAACTTCAGCTTAGGAGAGTCGAAGATCAATAAGTGATATTTTACCAACTTATTAGAAGATATCCAACATATTGGATTCATTGTTGCGACACTAGAAGATCTCAAGTTATGTATTCATCAGGGGGAGAAAATACGCGCTGCACTCTTTTTCCCTTGACCATGGTTTTGTCCCAAATTGGATTTTCCTGGTAAGGTTTTTAATGAGGCAGCATATCGAGCGTATTACGAAGAATGTTGTACTCTTTTTCCTTCATTAGGTTTTTATCCCACGGGGTTTTTCCTAATAAGGTTTTAACGAGGCACAATCTTCGATAATGGACATCCAAGGGGGGGGGGTGTTATGAAAATCTTGTGTGGATATCCATTATCCTCTTTGTATGCTTCCAGAATATTCTAGATCTAGGGTTTATTCTTATCTAAGCAAACCCTACTTATAATATTCTATGTATATATATACCCCTATCATATGGAATAATATGAACAGATTAATTCTCTCTCAAACTCTCATCTTTCCCCCACATTAATAATTATCTTTTACTTTTTTTTAAAAAAAATTATTCTCATAAATTACTATATTCTTTATATTTCAGTGATATGTTCTTTTTACAAATTCATGATGTTCTTTATAATTTATTTCCGCTTTAATTCGGGTGTATCATGCCCGGGTGTACCACACGCATGATACACCCAGCCGGGTGTACGATCACCAATTGGAACTAACATAATGAATAATAGCTAACATTTAATTAATTACTCCTTAGAATTCTTAGAACATTAGCAAAAAAAAATACACCATCATTCAAAGTTGGTCATCAAATTATTTGACCACCAGCAGGCCAACTAACATATTTATATACTACCTCTGTTACAAGTTATGTGCAACGATTTAACATAAATCAGAGAGGGAAAATGTCTAATTTTTTTTATAAACCATATATGCATGGTTGGTTGACCAAAAGTAAATGCTCCTCTGTTTGTGCTTTATTTGAATGCACCTAACTTTTCTTGTAGCTTGACCAAAAGTAAATGAATTGATTTTTATGGTTTGAAATTGAATAAATATTTGTTCTTGCACATTGCATCATTGCTTGTGTTATGTAGTTTTTACTTAGTATTAGGTTTATACTAGTCAAAATTTCTCTTTTATTATGCTACTTTCCTATGTGCCCTTATATAGTTATATCCTACATATTTTGACTTTCCGTTACATTTTACATCAACCACTTAGCTTGTCGACTATTTTATAGACTTATAACGTTACTCCCTAATCTTAAATTTATAGCCATATCCAATTTTGTGTGATTATAGCTATTAACTTTTTTTTTTGAGGGAACGATTATCAACTTTTTACTAATGAACTTCTCGATACAAATTTAGATAGTTTACGAGTAATGATTAGCCATATCCATTGTACTAATGATTATTTAATTTGGACAAATCAACTAGTATAAGTTAGTTCTCTCAGTCAACCTTGACTATATAATAAATTGAATAATATTTTCTTAATAAATTTACTATTTTCTACATGTCAATGTCTAAATATTTTAACTAATTAGTTAGCTTCTACGAAGTTTCTACTGGGCTTGAATTCCTGAGGTACGAATGTTTTTTTATAGTAAGGAGGCTGCGCTTACGGTATTTTTGGAATGTAATCGAATTTGGGTTTGTAAGTAAAACTACCATGTTTTTTATGTGAGTCAAATAATTAGACTACTGTAGGACATTTGAATTGACGTTTGATTTTTATTCCTTTTTACTATTCATCCTTATATATTATGTTTGAATGGACTCTAATAAGTAGTAGTGGTTCAATGTATAGATAAGTCAAAGTAATTAAGTAAAATTAAAAACATAATCTAAGTTTGGCATTGAATTAGTGAGAGTGACACTTCCATATTTGAGAGTATATTTGTTTAGAGGTGAACTTGCCTTATGGCCCCTAATCTCCTTTCATGCATCCTCGTCAAGGTGTACGTAGTGTACGTTGCGTTTAGGTTGTTTTGAGCGACGGACTAGTATATCCATAGCCATAGGAGATAGGGCCATATAACATAGGAGATCTAAGGGTCTGTTCTGATTTATTAACTGAGCTGAACTGAACTGAACTGAACCGAACTGAATATTGTATGACATAAGGATATTAGAAACTGAACTGAATTGAAGTGAAAATAAGTTGAACTTAACATGCCCTAAGTCATCTAACTTGAGGCTGAAATTTGCCTATTGTATGTATTGTATAAAACCGTTAAAATAAATTACTTTGATTATTCTATCCCTAACTTTTGATATTCCAATATATCTTTAAAAAACCTTCTAAACTCAAACATACTTAGCAATCTATATATATTTGGCCAATTGTTTCAATTAAAAAAAATAAAAAATCGGAGTTAGTAATTAAAGTGCCGCCTTCCATAATTCATCATAAATAAAGTGGAGTGTTCATAAACCCGTTTATTTATTTATTTTAGAAGATTAGTACATCACGAGGTCCGATCCATGAGACCATGACTATTGATTATGCAACAATTAATGCAGGCTATGGAGTTTATACACTACCTTATTATATATTGTATGTTGTACATACATATAGATAATGACCTTACTAGTACATACAACATACTCCTTGCATTATTGTACCATAATCAACTTAATGATCGATGATGTAGCTAGGCCGAAAATGCACCTCCACGAGATAGATAATAACCCCAATTAAAAGGTCTTTGATGGTAGCAATCGAGGTTGTCACCATAAGTAACATTAAGAATATCACAGTAACGCTTGTAAAATCCAATACGATTCTCAACTCGTGTATCTGGTGCTGGTATGTTACATTCGAGGCCACCATTGATTATATTTGTGGTTACGCCGTAACCAGGTAGTCGACCTGCATCTTTGTCTGCCTTACTTGGTACCCATTGCCCAGTCATTACGTCGTGGCAAGATGGCTTGGGTGACTGGGGTGTCATCCAGAACCATATAGCCGTCTTGAATGCAATAATCGGGTCTTTTTCGACTAGATCTGGATCTGAAAGAAGTGGCAAGTTTAGTCCCTCCCCTGCTTGTCCATAATTGTAGTTGCTGCAAATTTAACCCACAAACAAAGGACATTAATTAGGACACATACGATTTGTGTACCAAAATAAAGACTTTAACACAAGACTAGCTAGTGTAACGGGATTAAATTTTGTTGTAATTGGTCTCTTTTTACACTAATAAGGCTAAATTCTTAAATCATTACTAAAATAATTAATAGAATTATTTGAGGGGACAAACAGACTAAATATTATACGTACCAACAAAAATTAGGGTGCGTTTTCTACACTTAAATGTACTAATTAGAAAGGGTGTGAATGAAATACGTACTAGCTAAGCTGAATAGGTCCACGACCATAGTACTTCTTCCCAGGAACACAAGGCCATTCATTTGGAGTAACACAATAATCGGTTGTGGTTTCTTCTTTAATGAAGCAATATCCCCATGCATACGGTCCGTCTTCTGCAGTTGGCCATCCACCTTGTTTTTAACATTCACAAATCAATCAATTAGTTATGCATTCGACTATTTGTAACTTACTTACATAATATTGTAACGACCTTTTGTACTATTTTAAATTACTCCGTACTACACTAGTATTAATATATATACTATAATGGTACATATGGGTGATAAACTTGTATGATTAGGTTTGGAGAATGTGACAAATAAATATATACTTCGTACGAAGGAGGTAATATTAATATTATACGCAACAACTTGTGTGTATAGTATATGCTAAGTGACACGAACACACGATATGATACACAAAGCAATAACAAGAAGTTGAACAAACCTGTGGTTTCTTGAGAGGTTTGGCCAAAGAAAGCAGCAAGTTCGCGCTTCCTAGTATCAAGGTCCCCTGTATTACAAAACTCGGGAAAAGAAACAGCAGCAGTAATGAAGGCATAGTAAGTATAGAACCCATTAGACTTGCATCGAAAATCATTTCGATGCAAAAGCATTTCTTCGAACAACTCTTGAGTGAAAAAATCCGTTATAGGACTAGGTGGCATGGGAGGTGGAGGAGGAGAAGGCGGTGGAGGAGGTGAAGGCTTGGGACATTGGCTTTGACACTTGCCTTCGCCGCAGTAATCTTGGGTGGTGCCACACCACCCAAATTTACTACAACAATAACCTTCCGTGCAGTTAAACTTGAAATCTACTTGCATTCCACATTGTTCGGCTTTACTTTTGTCTAGTAAGAGGAACAACGTGAAAATTTTAACTCCAATTATTAGTAAACTCTCTTTGATTTTAGTCGACATTTTTTTTTTATAATTTCTTGAAATTTTTTGTGTGTTGATGAGAAATTAAGGGGAGAATTCGAGTGAATTTTATAAGGTTGATTGATTACGTACCATGCAAAATCATTATTTTTTCTACAGTAAAAAGTACAATAATTGAGGGGAGAATTCCAGTGAATTTTTCACGTGTCATTTAATTTTGCTTTGTTACATACGAAGTAATACATATTATTTTACGCTAGAGTACAATAATTAATGTATTACTCCTCCCCGTGAATAATTGAGAGTCTTGTTTACATACGAAATAGTACCTTTTTCTACAGTAAAAAGTATAATAATTGAGGGGAGAATTCGAGTGAATTTTTCACGTGTCCTTTAATTTTGCTTTGTTACATACGAAGTAGTACATATTATTTTACGCTAGAGTACAATAATTAATGTATTACTCCTCCCCGTGAATAATTGAGAGTCTTGTTTACATACGAAATAGTACCTTTTTCTACAGTAAAAAGTATAATAATTGAGGGGAGAATTCGAGTGAATTTTTCACGTGTCCTTTAATTTTGCTTTGTTACATACGAAGTAGTACATATTATTTTACGCTAGAGTACAATAATTAATGTATTACTCCTCCCCGTGAATAATTGAGAGTCTTGTTTACATACGAAATAGTACCTTTTTCTACAGTAAAAAGTATAATAATTGAGGGGAGAATTCGAGTGAATTTTTCACGTGTCCTTTAATTTTGCTATGTTACATACGAAGTAGTACATATTATTTTACGCTAGAGTACAATAATTAATGTATTACTCCTCCCCGTGAATAATTGAGAGTCTTGTTTACATACAAAGTAGTACCTTTTTCTACAGTAAAAAGTACAATAATTGAGGGGAGAATTCGAATGAATTTTTCACGTGTCCTTTAATTTTGCTTTGTTACATACGAAGTAGTACATATTATTTTACGCTAGAGTACAATAATTAATGTATTACTCCTCCCCTTGAATAATTGAGAGTCTTGTTTACATACAAAGTAGTACCTTTTTCTACAGTAAAAAGTACAATAATTGAGGGGAGAATTCGAGTGAATTTTTCACGTGTCCTTTAATTTTGCTTTGTTACATACAAAGTAGTACATACCAAGTAGTACCTTTTTCTACAGTAAAAAGTACAATAATTGAGAGTCTTGTTTATTTGTATTACTCCTCCCCGTGAATCATTAGTCAACCAGATAAGGATTAGCCGACTAGAAATTGACCCATCTAATTACCAATCATTTTAATAAATTAGAGTGTAATTAGAAGAAATTAGAGGTTAATTAATTACGTGAATTAAAGATATAAGATTGTCTTCAAAATATATATATATATATATACTAGTATAAAAAAGTGGAGTGTAATGTACCACACATGATGACAAAGGTAGAGATGCAGATTAGAGAGAAGAGGAAGCATTGATTCTCATTAATTCAAGGAGCACTGTAAATACTTGCTCCATTTCTATTTTTTGCACTATTTATTTGTCCTACTTTGACTAATGTTTATGATTTATACATAAGAAAAAATATTGTCTTATGGGTACTTGTTAGAATCATCTCAATGAATAGATTATTAATTTTCAATTGCTAGAATTTATACATATTAATAATTAAAGATATTAGTGATCAAAGATTAGCATCGACATGCATGTCCAAGAAAAATGGAGCAAGTATTTAAAAACAGAGGGAGTACTCCGTAGATACAAAGCTTGCTCAACCGTAAAAGAACTAAAGACAAAAGAACAATTAAAAAAAAAAAAAGGACAGCCCACCATTCTAAATGGCAGGATGGTACAGCCGTACAGAGCACAACAAGACGGAGAATAAGGAAATAGGGAGTAGGAAACTTCCTAGACGTACTATTGATTTTCGGGAACAAGCTACGGAATTTATGCGTCACTTTATTATAGAGTTAAGTTAAAATACGGTCCCTCAACTTTAGTATTTGTAGCATTTTGGTCCCTCATCTTTCAAACGAAGCAAATTGGTTCCTCAACCACCCATAATTTACTTTTCCGGTGGAAAAAAGATGAGTCACCAAAGTTTAAGGATCAAAGTGCCCATGTGGCAAAAAAAATAATTTTTTTTAAAGGGAATCTTTTAACTAACATTATTTTTTTTTCATCAACATTAATATTTTGGTTATGATTTGCATTAATCAAACTATAGAATTTCCAAAAAAAAAAAACTATAGGATTTTCCACCTTTTCTCACCCCACATCACCAACACAAACACATAACCCCATTTCCACCCGTCTGCAGCCTCACCACCGTCATTAATCAACCACGCAACCCAAACCTCCGGTTCGGCTGAACTATATTGTGCATGAGCTTGTACAGAATTAATTAAATCAGGAGGCCAAGATTAAATCACAAAATAAATCAAAGGCTGGGATTAAAAGATGGTGATTGATGATGATCGTTAATGAGGTGCAAAGTAGCGGATTGTTTCCCCATTAGAGCAGCCAAACCGAAAGAGAAGAAGAGAGGGCCGACCCTTTTTTTTTCTTTTTTTTTCTTTTCCTATTTCTTTAATTTGAATTATTTAATTTTTTTTTTGAAAGAAAGTCAAAGTATTTAATTTTTTAAGTCATATTTAATTTTCTTCTTTAATTCTCTAAGTCATATTTTTTAAAAAAAATAGTCATTTAATTTTTAAAAAAAAGCAAAAAAATTGGGTATGTTTTCTTTCATTTTAATCAAAGTTTGTACATAATAAATATTAATTAGTAGCTGACAAAAAAAAATTAATTTGTAATCCCTAAACAAATGCTAACTAGGATAAGTCCCTTAACTTTTGCTTAGTTGGCAGTACACATTCTCAAACTTTGCTAACTCATAAGTTCCTCCACCAGAAATGGTGAGACAAGGGTGGTAGAGGGACTAATTTGCCTCATTTGAAAGATGAGGGACCAAATATACAACTAATGTCATAGTTCAGGGACTGTATTTTAGCTTATCTCCTTTATTATACTCCATATTGTATATGATTTGTATGATTGTATCTAGTACATATAGATTTTGAACGTACTAATACAACATACTCCTAAACCATAATCAACTTAAAGATCGATCGATGATGTAGCTAGGCCGAAAATGCACCTCCACGAGATAGAAAATACCCCCAATTAAAAGGTTTTTGATTGTAGCAATCAAGGTTGTCACCATAAGTAACATTAAGAATATCACAGTAACGCTTGTAATATCCAATACGATTCTCAACTCGTGTATCGGGTGCTGGTATGTTACATTCGAGACCACCATTAATTATATTTATGGTTAACCCGTAACCAGCCACTCGACCAGCAGCTATGTCCGATTGAGTTGGTTCCCATTGCCCGGTTATAACTTTGTGGCAAGATGGCTTGGGTGCCTGGGGTGTCATCCAGAACCACATAGCCGTCTTGAATGCTATGATCGCGTCTTTTTCTACAACATCTGGGTCAGTTAGAAGTGGTAGTTCTAGTCCCTGTCCTGCTTGCCCGTAATTGTAGTTGCTGCAAATTACACCCAAATATAAAAGGACACTTTTATTAGTTTAGTGTAACAAAATAAAGAGTTATAACACAAGGTTATTGAAATGGTGTAAATTAATTTAATGGATTTATTTTAGTGAGTAACTATAGATTAACTAGCTAGAATTAGGAAAGTAATTAAGGGTATGAAAAACATACTAGGAAAGCTGAATAGGCCCACGACCATAGTACTTCTTGCCAGCAGCACAAGGCCATTCAGTCGAAGGAACACAATAATCGGTTGTGGTATCTTCTTTGATGAAGCAATATCCCCATGCATATGGTCCATCCTCTGCTGTTGGCCATCCCCCTTATTTTCATACACAAATCAAATATTTAGTAGATCGATCGATACATATTGGTATAGTCGTACGTATTTCAAAATTGTCAGGTACTTTTTAACGTTCATTATAGTGTGATAAGAGTATAAAACACATTTCTAGCAGGCTTCAACCATAAGCTTAAACTATGGTTGAGTTGGTCATCTAATATGATATCAAGAGTCAGCGCGACACAAAGGTCACGGGTTTGAATTTCATCCACACCTCCAAATATTAAACGCAACTTATGTCAAAGGCCAGGGGTAACATTTTGCAAAACTATATAAACATGTGAGTACGTGACATGATAAGTCGATAATCATTGGCATAATTAGTGATAAGTAAGGGCATATATGATTATATGGTCGTTCATATAACATGATAATTGAAGATATATAAAGGAATCATAAACAAACCATTGGTTTCTTGAGAAGTCTGGCCAAAGAAAGCAGCAAGTTCGCGCTTCCTAGTATCAACGTCCCCTGTATTACAAAACTCGGGAAAAGAAGTAGCAGCAGTAATAAAAGCATAGTAAGTATAGAACCCGTTAGACTTGCATCGAACATCATTTCGATGTTTAAGCATTTCTTCAAACAAGTCCTCCGAAAATATATCAGTTATAGGACTAGGTGGCATGGGTGGTGGTGGAGGTGGAGGCAGTGTAGGAGGCGAAGGCTCGGGACATTGGCTTTGACAATGTCCTTCACCACAAAAGGCCTCAGTGTTGCCACACCAACCATAATTGCTACAACAATAACCTTGTGTGCAATTAAACTTGTGATCTACTTGTGACCCACATTGTTCGGCTTCACCTTGGTCTAGTAAGCAGACTAAAGTGAAAATTAATAAACATGTTACTAACAAACTCTTGTTAAATTTATTTGACATTGTTTCTTTGATTAATTTTGAGATTATTTGAGTTGTTTGTGAAATTAATGGAGGGATTCAAGTGAATTTATAGAAAATTTAGGTGGTACGGATTATATAGTTTAATCACTCCCATGCAATTAAGGCATGCATTATCACATGCATGTTATTTAATTTATATAGTACTCGTACCGTATAATGTATATATACATGCATGTACGTCTTCTTTTGTTTTGACACGTAGTGGAACAGCTAGCATGTTTTGACATCAACCCCAATGCTTTTTTTAGAGTACCAAATATCCATCAAGTATTTTAATTGATTTAAGATTATGGTGAGAAAAAGGGGTAGTTCAAGTGGTTAGATCTTCCCTCCCGATTTTAGAAGGTTACGGGATCAATTTTCACTCCCATCCTTGTGGCTCTCTAAACACTAAAAAAAAAAATTAAGATCATGCTAGCAAAGTAGCAAGCACTCCTTGAGCTTTAGGTAACTACAATAATTAAATTATTACCATAAATAGTACTCCTCTATTTTATAATGTTGATCCAATTTAAAATTAAATCTACCTTTTGGCTATAAAAAATGAGAGGAAATCTTCTAAACTTCTCTCTCTATATATAAGAACAAACATAGTCATCAATTATCATATGAAATCTAGTTTAGTTCGTCTTGGTGAGTATATTATTATTATATTAATATCTATTTTCTATAATTTTTGCTAGGATAAGATTTAAGACATTTGCAATCAAAGATTTGCATCAATATACGTAAATGAGACTAACATTATGAACTATGGGAATATTAAGCTTGAAATCCATGTTAAAATCATGCGTAGATTGTTATAATTAAGGTTTATTTTGCATTAATATTTCCAGTCTTAGTTCTCTTATCTAACACTTCAAAGACGTTTGTTATTAGTTTTTGTCATCAGCTCAAAATCTGGCCATGAACTCTACGTTCAGGGTTTGCGTACATAAAATTATTGCTCGATTATAAATCATATCTAACATATGTATTAATTAATAAAATACGCAAATACTTTGCACTCCTTAAAAAAATGAAACAGATGGAGTACAAAATTTTTTTGAGCAAAAAACGGATGGAGTATAAGTTATTAACTTTTCAAACTCATACTGTCATACTCCTCCAATCCTTTCGATAAAAATCTCCTAATATCCGATAGAAATTGTTCTATACACCAAGGTCGTGTACCGTACACCAATGATTATGCTCTCATATTGATGATTGGTTTTCATTTAATCATCAAAGAAAGAGCAAAAACTAACCTTGGATTAGGTAGGTGTACAGTACACCTGAGTCCCGGGTGCATATAACAATATCCGATCCTGTCAAGCCTAATTCTATTTCCTAATCTTGATATCACATGTGATATTATTCTCATAATAGTTTAATTTTGGGAAATTCTCAATGGTAGCCTTCTACTTTTGCTTAATTCCAATGGTAGCCGATTTTTTTTTTATTATGTTTGGTAGTACCATACTTTTAAAACTTCTCAACCGTAACCTTATTGATGTTTTTCCAGTAAATTTCTGTTAAATTTAACTTACTACTCAACCATGGTTAACTGTTTTAATAAAAATAAAATAAAATATCCATTCCTAAACAGCCCTAACCTCCATTGACAATTACCCAGGCGCCACCCACTGACCAGAATCCTCGTTGGCCATCGTCATTCAACACTCCCTTTCCTCCGTTCGCCTTCAATCAACCCCTCTCGCCGGAAATTTAAACAAGAACATCAATTTTTTCATAATTAAAAAAAGAACATCAATTATTTCATGATTTAAATGAAAGAAAGGTGCTATCAAATTTGTGGGTTCGTCAATTTTTTTAGCAAATGTATCTTCATTACCCAAAAATGAGATTTTGGGGTTACCTTTTGATTAGTGGAACTTATAAATTTAGTGATTATTTGACCGAAATTTTGGGAACTAGGAAGGTCAAGTAAAAATTCAGTTTTGGGGGTGGAAAAGCCACTAAGAATAGCCATGGCACCATCAGGTCATCAATTTGCAGAACTTTTGCTTTCTGGAGAATGAGTCGACGGCGGGGACTAGTGAAAATAGAGGAATTAACCTTCGACTCACATGAATTTGATTTGAATTGCTGGCGGCAGTGGTTGATCGAAGGTGACCAGAGGGATTGGAGGTGCTGGTTGTCAATGGAGGTCGGGCTGCTTGAGAATTGGTTTCAAATTTTTATTTTAATTGAAATAGTTAAACCATGATTGAGTATAAGTTAAATTTAACAAAAAGTTAACAGAAAAACATCAATAAGGTCACGGTTGAGAAGTTTTATTAGTATGGTGCTATTAAAGATAATCGAAAAAAATGGGTTATCATTGGAAATAAGCAAAAGTAGAAGGTTACCATTCAGAATTTCCCTTTAATTTTTCTAATATCTCGATAATATCATGACGAGATTGTACATTGTCTTTTACGGGATCCTCTTTTACGCTCGCTAAACATAACTCGATACTACGCATATGATATCTTAACAAATACTCGTACATGACTAATGGCCTCGAATAATTCTTTGGCACATGTAAAAATCTTCGAGATCGAGCCTTGTGACACTGCATGGTTAATAAACTAATAGCCTTGGGAAATTAAAATCATTTTCCTATTTCCTGCCAATCTGGCATAGCTATTAGTTTGCCACAAATTTTGCAAACCATTTTATATATATATATATATATATTTTCGTAGCTCAAGTTTTGAGAATTAAGATAAATAAATAAGATGATGTTTCCCTTGGCAATTAATTAAAATTAAATTATGTTAAAAATGGAGTGCTTGTAATAAAGATGATGTTTCCATTACAATTTAATAGCCACGAGGCCCCGAGTAGAGTGTTAAATTGTATAGACAAGGTGGCAATGAAGTGGCATGCATGGTGCATCGGGCCATCGGTGCATATTCCATGATACTTTTAGGTTTTTTTTTTTTTTTTTTTTTTTTTTTTTTTTTTTTTTTTTTTGTTATGAGAAAACCCATATGTGTGGGATGTGTTGTCTCATATTGGTTGAGTTTATAAGTGAGAGTTTGTATTGGGATGTGTATCTCATGTTGAAGATATAAGAAAGTTGTGTCCATTTTATAAGACTAAGGGGATACTCCCCTCATTGTCATATGAGGTGGAACCTCCTTAGTCGTGTAAAATTGACAGTTGTGACAGGTGTAGTCCAATATCAATATGCCTATTTGTATTTAAATAGATGTAACATGTTACATGTTAAAATTTTGACATGAAAAACAAGATTCCGAGCTTTTAACTCTAGGAGTATATTAACATGCAATGTGACACTATAGACACCACTTAACGGATTCTTGGATGAAATCTGTTAAGTAATGGTAAATAATTTTTGTTATTAAAATAAATAATTTTTTTTAAAAAAGACTTGTTAGCTTTGGTAATGGAATTCCATTATCTTCTCCCTAATCTCCCAAATTAACTAATCCGCTAACCAAACCGAGTTGACCTACGAAGAATAACAACCAACAGAACCTAGAGTTGTCAATAGGGGTATAAATGAGCCGATACGTTTGCGAACAAGCTCGGTCAAAGCTTGGTCAAAACTCATTTGTTAAGCTAACAAACAAGGTTGAACAAAAATCTTACACTCGTCAAATAAATGAACAAAGCTCGAACAACAACATGTTCGACTCGATAATGTTCAGAACAACTCGTTTAAGTCAATTTATAAGTTTTTTCACGCCCAATTAAAATTTGAAAAGTTTATATATCTTTTATTCAGCATACATATTTGTAAAAAGTACTAATTATTTCATTATGTAAAAGTATGAAAACTCCTTCATTACCTTTTTTTTATAAAAAGAATATAAACATCTTATATAAAATTAAATGGATGTGTTAATAAAATTAAAAGAAACCATTTTTTCAAATGATAAATTAAGGCTTGTTTATTTAATCAACCCGATTAAGACCCGTTCAAGCTTGAACTTAAACTCGAAATGCAAACGAGTACGTTCGTGAACAAAGCTCGAACAAGCCAACTCCTTTACGAGCCCAGCTCGAACAAGATTTTTAAAAGCTTGTTCAAGCTCGAGATATATAGTTCGAACATGAATAGTTCTTATCAAGCTTAGACTAAAACTCGGCTCGGCTCGAATCGGATCGCTTGCAGCCCTAGTTGTCAAAACCTAACTCGATCCGAACTCGATTATTAATCGACCCGTCTTAAACCGGAAAAATATAAATGGTGACCCGAACCCAATCCGACTCGACTTGAAACCAACCCTAGACCCGAATATTTGATACCTAAACCCTAACATGAACCAAACTAGAAATGATCTGACCCGAATATAACCCATAAATTATTGACCTGAACCGAACCTGACAGGGTAAAGTCGTATCCCCTAATCAAAAGTAAATACCTAAATCCTCTAACTAAAGTAGATAGGGAAGTAGGGTCGATCTCCACAGGGAAACAAGTCTTTTTACTCCTAATTAATTATTATAATCTAAATTATCTAAGTAACCAATATTTATATTTGAGTATGAGACTAAACTACAAAGAATAGGATTAGGGAGAAAACAATATATAAACAATATATAAAAGGATCTAGGGCATAGGTTTACCAATAAATAATACTCCAGGGTAAAACATAGTAATCAATCATTGACATTTCATAAATAACATGATTAACAGGCTCTCGCAATTTATTAATCAATATAGATCTAACAGGCTCTCGCAATTTACTAGATCTAAGTTCTTATTGAAAATAGTCTTTAATATCAAATTAACATCTGCTCGATTCATCAATTTAATATTGCTATACTTTTACAAGCCGCAATTGTAAAATATTAAAATAAACAATCCAATAAGAAATTATCATGCAATATCAATAATCAATAATAGTCAATCATCAATGCATCAATTAACCAGATTGTAAGGGCTTTCTCTACGTATTACAATCACAGAATTAATCTACCGGTATTAAATCTCATCTCTCGAATCTTGACTTAACCATTTATAAATTAATTTGCCTATTGAAACTAGACCTAAATAACAATTCTCATCTCTCGATTCATGAATCAATATTGTCAAACTCATGCATAAAAGATAGGCCTAATCTAGTCACAGAGCATTAAATCAATCAATAGGAAATTAATCTAGCATTGATAATCAACAACAATAATTTACCCCTTCATATTATTTATTAGATCCCCATAAACCCTAGAAATTAAACTACTCACACATATTAAAAACTAAACAAATCAAAGAAATAAAATAAGACATGATTAAAGGAATAGAATAAATAATTAAGATTAAGAGAAGAGGAATCGTTACCAAAATAAATCTGGAATTAAAAGTAGAATTAAGAACAAAGGTTTAGAGAGAGAATTCTAAGAGAATAATTAAGAGAGTAAAGAAAAAGTAAAAAGGAGAGGAAGAGAAGAAGAAGTCCTAAAAACGTATTACGGAGGAGTATTTATACTCCGTACAAAAATCCTAAGCTAAAACAAATTAAAACTACGTTAAGCATCAACTAATAAAACACGCGCCCGATCGGGCGCGCCTTTTTTGACTCTAATACTAATCTCGCGCCCGGCCGGGCGCGTCACCGGGCGCCTGACTAAGCTTCTCCCGCCCGGCCGGGCGCGCCTCGGGCGCCAGCCTTTTTGGCCGGGCGGCTCATTTGGGCCACTATTTGGACTTCGATTGGGCTCCAATTCTTCGGGCCAATCTGGGTTTCCTCTTTGGGTCTTGAATACTCGGTCCAAATGCCCCGGTATCACCTATACCGAGCCCTTAATCACCGGTTCGATGGCTCTAACCGGCCCTGGGCTATAAACTCTGGTCGTGCTTCTCCAATGTTCGTGATTGCTCCAAAATATCTCGGGAAAATACTCCAAAAGCATAAATCCCTGCAAAAGTCAACTAAATCTACGAAAACACTGGAAAACACCAATTAGTAATAAAAGTGGCTCTAAAGAGCCAAAAACACTACTAATTATGACCAAGGGACGAGGGTAAAATACTATATAAAATAGACACATCAGAACCCGATCTAAACCGAAATTAACCTAAACTCGTTTTAACCCGTCAAACCCAAATTTAACCCGATATATTACTAACCCGATCTGTTCTTAAACCGATCGGTTACCAACCCGACTTGAAATTCAACCCGATCTGCTACAAACCCGACCCAGAATCAATACAACTTGTTATTGACCTGACCCAAATTCTATCCGACTTGTTATTTACCTGACCCGAAATCAACTCGACTCGTTATTGACCCGACTCGTAATCAACTCGACTTATTATTATATACATCTTTATTATTGTAGATATTGACTATTTAAATAAAGATATATGCTATATATATTCTAATCTACTAGTAAATTTGTAACTTCGTAAGGTTAAAACTACTTTATGTTAATATTGATCAAAGTATTTTGTTTTAGATGTAGGGACACGAAGTAGGTTCAGCAAATTAAAAGATTATAACCCGCAAATTATTGATTTGAACCGAACCCGACTTGAACCCGAGAATGACTCGACTTGAAAATGATCATCTAGATTATAATCCGCAAATTATTGACTTGAACCGAACCCGATTCAAACCTGAGAATAACCCGACCTGTTTATAACTCGCAAATTATTGACTTAAACCGAACCCGACTCGAGCCCAATAATGACCCTAACCCGTTCTAACTCGTGAAACCCTGAATTAAACCCAACTAATTATTCACCCGACCCGATTGTAACCCAACTTAAACCCGACCTAAACCCAATAAGATGTATCACCCGACGTGACCCGACTCAAGCATGACCCAACCCAAACCCGACCCGCATAGGTTACGATATTAACCCGATCTAAGTTGATCCGACTCACACTTACCTTATCCAAACCCGACCCAATTACCCGAATTGACAGCTATTAGAACCTTTTATCTTACCTTAGTTACTTATTTACGGCGTATATTCTTCGACAAAATCTAGTTTCCCTTCCACGTAAGTTCCACATCTTTGTTCCTAATCTAGTACGGAATACCGATTACGAACTTCACAATACACATAACCTCTTTGACTTGAAACCTCGTTGATTTGTTGTTTGTTCCTCTAATTACAAGTGTAAATTGTGCACATTTCAACTTCATCTACACTTCTAAACCTTCCCCCTGTTTTATTCCAACACTCAATCATCATCATCTTCTTCTCAACAATCCTTTCTTCACCTTACTCAATCTCAAATTTTGAAAAAATAAAATAAAAAATGCTCAGAATTTTATCCCGCAAAAGATGGAATCTTCTCAAAATTCGCCAATACAACCCACCAAATTTCTTCAATCCCTCAATATCATCTCATCAATTTTGCCCCCAATTTGATTTTTCATCATCTGGGTGTTCCCAAGTTCGATTTTTTTCATCAGGGTACTCATTAATTCGCGGTAATTTTGAAAATTCATGTCGAATTGAAGGTGGGTTTTTGAGAAATTTCAGTTTTGTTGGATCAAAGAGGAGGTTTTGCAGTGGTTCGAGCCGAGAATCAATGGAATACGACGTCGTTATAGTGGGAGCTGGGCCTGCTGGGTTATCTGCTGCTATAAGATTGAAGCAACTTTGTAAGGAGAAGGATGTTGATTTATCAATTTGTGTTGTTGAAAAAGGGGCTGAAGTTGGTATGCTTATATTCTGATTGCATTGTGTTTTTTTGTTTGTTTATTTTATAGATTATGATTAATTTGGTAGTTTTATAATATGATTATGCATATGTACTATATCATTATGTTTTGTTGGTGTTTGTGTTGTTTGAATTAAAGCAATTATCTTTGAATTTGAGAATGTAATATTTGTGCCTTTCGATTACTGTACCATTGCTAAAAACATGTGTAGAGAGCCACGAAAGGTAGTAATGTATGTGGAGTTTTATTCGGAGTACCAAGTTGTGGAACTTTATTAACTAAGCTAGCTGACATCCACATGTCGAAAAATATCATTGATGGATGAGAGTTGAAGGTTTAATGTGATATTTGACTAGAACAATAGGTTTGCATAGTTGAATTCTACGTTGCAATATCCTAAAGGCTCCATGGCATTGACACTGCAATTTGTTGCAGAAGCAATTAGCTCTTAATTTTTCGATGTGAACCTGCATGGTAATCGATAAGTCTCAATCTTTCTTTTGGATTCAGGCATACACAAGAAGATTCCATGTTGTCTTTCAAAATATGCTAGTCCTTTCACCTTCTCTTCATGTGATTACTTAGTAGCATCTGGTTGACTAGAGAGTATCGTACTCACTATGTTATAATTTCTGGTTGTCTCTAGGAGCACATATATTATCTGGAAATGTCTTTGAGCCACGAGCATTGGATGAACTCATTCCAGAATGGAAACAGGAACAGGTGCGTTTGTAATTACATTGAATATCAACCTTTTGTGTCTCGATTATACAAGCCACAACCATGCGCACTGTCAATAAAAAAGCTAATTTGTTTTATCCTTTTATGTTTATAGGCACCTATTGATACTCCCATTTCATCTGATAAGTTTTGGTTTCTTACAAGGGATCGTGCATTGTCACTCCCAAGTCCATTTGACAACAAAGGAAACTATATTATAAGGTGATTTCTTGAATGATTTACTGTCTATAATCTTGGCATGTGTTTGCAACTATGTTTAGCTTATATCCATGTTAAGTTAATCCAGGGGAATGTTACATCCCTCTTTGCATGTTATCTGCAATTTTTCATGGAATTGAACTTTTCAAAGTCATTTGTTAGTGATAAAAGGGGGTATATGTCAGAAAGCCCTTCTCCCACGAAATCCGTTAGGCAGTCAGTTAGTGAATACTCCTAGTGGACCTGGTTTTACTATCTACATAGTCTGGCTAGTTTCTTCAAAGAGAAGAAGCTTGTTCATATACTAACAAGAAGCTACTATCTTTATGGAAGGAGGAAGGAAAGGGGATCTGTTGGTAATAAGTACTTACTATAGGTCTTGGTTTCGAAGTGAGTGAAAGGTTTTGTTAGTATCATGAGTCATGATAGTGGGGTTTCTTTCAAATTAAAGGAAGGGAACCCTGGGAGGATGTGCTCCAATAACTTTTTGATGATCTTTGGGTGGAAATGTCTTATACGCAAAAGCAGCAGCAAGTCGTTCAATATGTGGACCATCACTTATCGGAGGAAGCCCTTCAATTGAAGACTTGCAGGCTCGATATAGGACTCTTGGTCCGAATTTTGGATTGGGAGTTGTGTGTCGTTATAGCCATAGAAGACTCGGCCCAAGCAATCCTAAACTCTAATGCTGCTACTGTTTCTATTGATACTGCTCTATTGGCTGTACAATCATCAGACCAGACACCAAAGCTGGGACGGACAAAACAGAAAGTATCATGATACATTGGATTCTATAATAGCATTCTACCCTTTCCACAATAGAGCACTTGCAGCACACACGCTTTATCGGAAAGGATTCCCAAGAGGCTGCTTTCCAACATTAAGGACTCATTCATCTTTGTTTTTTGCTTTTTATTTTTCTGTTTTTTTGAAGACTAATAACAAAAAAAAGAAACCACTTTTTTGTTGTCAGATTTCAAAATAATGACGATTTTAAAAAATTTGATGAATATTTTATTTTCTTTATGAAACATATCATATGACTTTTAAAATTAAAAAAAAAAAAAAAACAAAACACAACAAAACAAAAAAGCTGAAAACCACAATGATGCCGATTGAACCTTAAGTTGTTTTCATTTTGGTCCAAAAGATTGGAAAGGCTCCAGTTTCCTGATTTCTGGTTGATGGAGGAGATTTTATTAGAGGCTGAAATAGGATTTTGTTTTAACACACTGCTTCAGTGGTCTAGCTTGTGGCTTTAAACATGTGGTGAATCAAGTGTAAATAAGAGTTGGAATGTCAGCAAATGAGAACAATATGGAAAAATTACATCGTCTCTTGGCTCTAAGGGTTTGGTCTCTGTTGAGCTTGCTAAAAATTCAACTCACAATTATTGTTGCCAGTGTCATTACGGGGGCTTGACTGTCTACTGATGGTTATGGTCTCTGACAATGTCTGGAATTTTAAGAGATGGAGTGATGGATATAAGAGGGAGGGTTTGGGGTGGGGTATTATGGCGGAAACCCTTGTACGGTGATATTGTCTGTGTAGCTTTTTGAACTGGTTTCTGAATTCTGTTAGTTTGGCACGTTGGTTTCTTGTCGTTCTGATTAGCAATTTTGCTTCTATTATTCAAGGATATTTTATAATATTTATTGTTTATGAATTTCAGCTGTCCTTTGCATTGGTTGTCATGGGGATTTGTCTTCGTTGAGTCTGCAGTAACTAGACATCCTTTTTTTATGCAGTTTAAGTCAGTTAGTACGCTGGATGGCAACGAAAGCTGAGGAATTAGGGGTTGAAATATATCCTGGCTTTGCTGCCAGTGAGGTATATTATGATTAGAATAAATTGATTAGTCATACCTTCAGCACCATGCTAATGAGTTATGTAAATAGACAGATTTTATACAATAAAAATCATAAAGTTACTGGTATAGCAACAAATGATATGGGGATTGCAAAGGATGGATCAAGGAAAGACAACTTTCAGCGTGGTGTAGAATTAAAAGGCATGTGTTTTCTAAAACTGTCATCCTTATTTTAAAGTGCATCTCCAGATTGTACAACATTATTAGCTGCCCTAAATTTGTCACTAGTAATGTTGTTGTAAGGATCGAACTATGTGGGAAAAAGTTTTGTTTAATACAAGTACTTTTTTGTCATCTAGCATTGTGTCTTAGCTACTTAGGCACTGATGAGGAGCATATGTAAGGTGGATCCTGCAGTATTAGGATGTTATTTTGGCCCAGTAAGTTCATTTGACAAGCTACTAACTAGAAACAGATACCAGACTGTTGTGTGCTGACTGCCAAGTTTTAACATTGGCTTTGTATGCCAAATTCCCAATGTCACTTAGATTTAAGATTGCCTTGTTGGTATAGTAAATGATTATGGTGTTGATACAAAAATGGCGTTCTCTTTTTGTTTTCTCTAATCGATTTAGCTTGAAGGGCCTTGAACTTCAATAAATTTTCTTACTCATCTCTGCTACTCTCTAAAGATATAACTTCACCAAAAATAGCTTTTTGAAATATTTTTGTGTGAGTTGCTTGCAGGGCGGGTTACCCTTCTTTCAGAGGGTTGTCGAGGATCACTATCAGAGGTCTGTTAACTGAATCTTGTGTGTACAATCTTGCTGCTAAATGTCAACTAAACTGCACTATATCCTAACTGTCCCCTTTTTCTTGCAGAAAATAATAAAAGAGTACAAGTTGAGAGAGAAGGGGAATGCTCAACATCAGACTTATGCTCTGGGAATTAAAGAGGTAACGTGCGAATTTCTAGTGCATGAATTCTGCTTAGGGAGAAATTTAACTTGATAAAATTAGTTTTATCGGTGTAAACATCTGAAGTTTCCATTCTTGAACTAACCTAGTAGAATTCCTTAAGAAGGGTAAAAATCATTCTAAGCTTTTTTCTTTGTAGCCTATTTTTTTGCTTGTTCCTCATCACATGCATCACTATCTTTCTCTCTCTCTTTTCAACACTCACAAAAATTTTTGCCTCTGTGCATGCTCATTTGTTGCACATAACATGAGACAGAGGTATTACAAATTTAGTTGGGTGTAGAAGATAGCCCTTGGCTTGGAACCTTGTGATTTATAGAAATAATTTCAGTTGTCTGGAAGGAATGTCTTTTTCATTTTGATATATGCTGTGTTTTTTGTTTTGTTTTGTTTTGTTTTTTTTTTTTTTGACATTGCCAATTTGCCACTGTATGTTTATGTCTAATTTTTGACAAATTTCATACAATAGGTGTGGGAAATCGATGCCAGCAAACATCAACCTGGCTTTGTGCTTCATACACTGGGTTGGCCATTGGATTACAATACATACGGAGGCTCCTTTCTTTACCACATGAAAGACAACTTGGTGAGAAGTTATAATGTCGACATATAATCTCATGCGCAAACACACTTTTATTTATTAAGAACAATGACATTTTAATACGAGTTTTGGTTTGGGTATTTGTTGCAACTGTTTGGTTTTTCTTGTCTTGTGTCTACTGTTTTCTGATGGTCTTGTTTGCTCTTTTTGAGAGAAGCAGTGTAATTTGTGAAATGTCATCTAGGAATAAAAACTCTGCAGTGAAGTGATACAAATTACTTTCCCTATCTTCTTATGAAGGTTGAAATCCTAAATAAAAACCACTCATGGTCTGAAGTTCTTGTCTAGGTTGGTTACAGTTTAGTAAAAAAAATATCTTGGCGATATCAGCCTGATCTTGTAGCAAACTAGCAATTAATCAATAATCATTGATCACAATACTACTGTGTTTCATGTGTGGATTTTTGATAAAAAAATTGTTTGCAAACTGATTTCTCCTGTAAAAACCTAAATTAGCTATTTGATTTTCCTTCCATCTGACTAATCTGTACTACAAAACCAGTGGCTGCGTGTTTGCATTTGCAGAAACTAATGGTTACTCGTCACCTCTGCTTGATGCAGGTATCTGTTGGCCTTGTTGTTGCTCTAAATTATCAGAATCCTTTCCTGAATCCATATGAGGAATTTCAGGTATCTTAGACTTTTCATGTTTTCAAAAATAAAAATTTCTGAGTTCAATCAGATATGATTCAGGTTTCGATTTTCAGACTCTAAGGTGTCCTCTATTTTGTGTAGAAACTTAAACACCATCCTGCAATTAAACCAATGCTTGAAGGTGGCAGCGTTATCCAGTATGGTGCTCGCACACTGAATGAAGGTGGTTTTCAGGTAACAGAAGTATGTTGATGTATATGTTTGTTTAGCTGTGGAGTCATTTTACGTTGATGCTACTAGCCCCTACACCTTTGGCTAAAGCCACTACTATTCAAGTGACTCCACACTATACTTGCAATGTATGTATACACACATAATACACAGATGTGTTTGCATATACAATATTACTTTATTCAATCATCTGCTGGTTACTACATGTGAAATTTGAATTGATAGTAGCCAAATTTCAGTCTATTCCATATCCAATTTTTCCTGGAGGTGCAATAATTGGATGCTCTGCTGGCTTTTTAAACGTACCAAAAATCAAAGGAACACATACAGCAATGAAATCAGGTGGTGTTTTTATTCTTTTACTTTCATATAAACCAAAACAGGTCGGCACAATCTGCTATGACATGATAAGCCACTCATTTTTATACAGCTTTTTTTTTTTTTTTTTTTTTTGGATAGGCATTTCTGGATGTGTCACACAAATGAATTTACTTTTCACTCTTGTTTTTTTTTAAAAAAAAAATAAAAATTCCTGTCCATGATGGGTTCCCAACATAAAAATTATCTGTATAATTTAGAGGTTTCATACTTGTATGCATCTGATTGAAAGTTATGAGTTGTGTAATGGACTGATTTTCAAATTTGTATATTATAAGGAGTATGAGATGAAAGCTTGGAATTTTGATTAATAATGGCAGAATTTGGTTACAAAAGGATAGATTAATAGCTTAAGGCTATCACTCTCTTGATAACTTTAGGTTATCACTCTCCTAGTAACTCGAGGTTACTACTCTCAACATATTTCCTCACAATTCACATGATATCCTAGTGCATATACGCTATCCCCTATTTATACAAAGGCCAAGGAGTCAAGGACTACTAACCTAAGGGGGTGTTTGGTATGGAACTTTTAAGCCATGGTAACGGATTCAAATAATTCACTCCATTACTACTTGTTTGGTAAGGCTAGAAAGTAACATAAACCGTTACCTAGGTGTAACAAATCCCCCCAGTTTGATTCCACTCGTTGACCCAAGGAAACAAATTCCGTTTCCGGCATTCAATAATGTTAACTTCTCTCATTGACTCTCTCTTCCAAAGCTCTTACTCACCCAATCTCTCTCTTCCGAATTCGATTTCCCAGCATGTCATTTTCAAAATCTTGCTTCATTATTCAAGACTTGTCAAATTTGGGTCAAGTAAATCACTCAACAACTCATCATTCTCACATCTAACCCACCAAAAAAAAAAAAAAAAATGAATGAGCTTTCATAATGATCAATGATGAAGATTGATCTACCTTTGCAATAATCTGATAATCTGATTTGGGGTTGATAATATTGATTTTTGATGGTCTGCTAAGATTTCAATCTAGTGTATTTGAGATTTAATGATCAATAAAAGAAAAAGTGATCTAGTCATCTGATTTTTGATGATTTGAATTATTAAATTAGAGTAATTAAATTGGAGTAAAAAAAAAAAGAGTAAGTTGAAGTCTTGAAGCAATTTTGCAGCCTGTGAATGTGAATTGCGATAAATGTCGCCCACTAAATATTAATTTTGTTTTTCCTTTTTTTAAAAAAAATAAATAAATTTGTTTTCCCTTTTTTTATGCCAACGAAAAGGAAATAGATTGGTTGTAATCGTTTACGTTTCCTTAGTAATACCAAACAACTAGTAAGGGTAACACTATATATTACCCTTTCCCCTCCTAATTTGTTTCCATTCCGTTACCAATACTAAGTTGATACCAAACACCCCCTAAAAGTATTAGACTTCCCAAAATGCTTTTCCTAATGTTGGTCTATTACAACTTGTCAACCTGCTTTTAGTTGGTAAATTATCGAGTGGTGATATCCATGATTTGAAACTGAATAGTATTTGCATCGCTGTTTGTGGCTTCCTATAGATTTTGAAAAGGGTGCAAGTGTTGTGCCAGTATGATTGGCAGATATCTTAATATGCACATTTTATCTTTTAATTGCTAAGACCCTTTTTTTTAATTTTTTATTTTTTATTTTTTTAAAACACAGTGCTATGAAGTTAGATATGCTTTTTCTGCAAATTGAGTAACTTATACTTAGTATCTTATATTTTCGCTCATTGCTGATAAAGATTCTCTGTTTTCTAATGAACTATTAAAGGAATGCTAGCAGCAGAATCTGCTTTTGGTCTCCTGCATGAGGGCTTGATGATGGAAGTGTATTGGGACAAGTTACAGACTTCTTGGATATGGGAAGAACTTTACAAAGCAAGAAACTACCGGCCTGTTAGTTAACATACACTCTCATTTCCCATAAAGATAACTTTAGTCTTTGAATTATCTTATGTAGGTATTTTAGTCTTTTTGCTTACATTTGGACGGTGCCCCACTCTATGTTGCAGAGTAGAGAGTTTTTCTGCATATTAGGAAGATTAGATTGTTACAAGTCTTACAACATATTTGGCATTATTTTTTGGATATCTCAATAATCTAATGGCCAATCATTTGCAGGCTTTTGATTATGGGCTTGTCCCTGGTTTGACAATGAGTGCCATAGAACAGTAATGCCTTACCTCTGTCGGAAATCATTTGTAGTTTAACCATTAACATTTCCCTATACTTCCTGCTTTCCTTTTGCAATATGAGGATTGACATTTTCATATATCTATGGCAGTTACATACTTAGAGGAAGGTCACCTTGGACTCTGAAGCATGGAAAGCCTGATCATGAAGCAACTAATGTAAGTAGCTCCGTACTCTAAGATATTACTCTGTATCTCCCATATATTATTGCTATCAAGTCTCTCCATCCAATTACCGTTTTTTGGAATAAATATCGACAAAATTATTGTGTTTTATTTTTTGTACACCAGCCTAGGTATCCTTGTGACTTCTGCAGAAACAAATACAGTGTTCTGTGTCAAATTAAACAAACAAAGATAGTGATTGGTTTTGTTAAACTCGCAATTCACCTTGGAAACGGGGGCAACACAATCATCTATTCTGTATATATACGGATATACCTATGAGAATAGTCGCTGCATATAACGATAAATAATAAATAGACCGACAATTAGCTGATTTCTTGATTTGCTTTCCTATCTTTGTGCTTTTATTATCTCTCTGCACAGAAGGTTTCCTTCTTCTTCTTCTCCATCTGATTATAAATTGATGGATGTACCACATCCTAGAAAAGTTGCAGGCGACTTAGTATGAGGCTTAATTAATGTCTTCCCCGCCTTTTCATTTTTGTGCTTCGATTTCACTGAAATATTTTGTTTTTCTCCAATATGTAGGTGGCAAACTTGCATTCTCCTATTGATTATCCTAAACCTGATGGAGTAATCTCCTTTGACATGCCAACTTCACTTTACAGGTAATTATAGCTGCTTTAGCCATTTATCCTTGTTATCTTTTTTTCCTTGTAAATTTCCAAAGTGCAATTATGGTTCAACTATTATTGCTGCAATGCTGCCGCTTAATGGAGCTGTCACTAGCGACTGCTTTATTCTCTGCTTGAACTCAGTTCTTCATAATGACATAATATAGAGCGGGGAATGTGATGTGGGTCAGTTGGATCACATCCCAAATATTAGAGAACGATTATAAGGTTTGACCCCACCCCTCGGGCTGCTGAGTGCTGACGCTCTCAGTCCTCATAAAGGAAGCTAATGTAAGACCTTGCTTGTCTAAAACAAATGAGAAATCAAAATAGACACATATTGAAAAGAATATATGAGAGCAAGTTTTTGAAACATGTCACTGAATGGCTAATTATTAAATGCTAATTGAATCCGTTATAACTCAATGCATACTTGAATATGACACTTGCTATATTCATGAAAATTTAACTATGTTCGAGAATATCTGTAGGAAACTGCAAAGGTTATCTATCTGTTGATGAAACTACTGTGTGATTTACTTTTTATCTGTTGAACTAATCTTATATATTGATTCTAATGATGTATTTTTCCTCATGTTCAATACTCTTGAAAATTTTCTTATTTATGTTTTTCTAGGAGCAACACAAATCACGACCATGATCAACCTGCTCATCTTCGTTTGAAGGATCCGTTGATCCCTCAAGAGGTGAATTTCCCGAAATTTGCTGGTCCTGAATCACGATATTGCCCAGCACGTGTATACGAGTGAGTTCTTGATGTTTTCTTAACTGTCCTATTCAGTATTTGCTTAACTTGTGGTGATTCTCCTTTGATTAGTTCTGATGGTCTTATATTGCATGACTTTTAGGTATCTTCCTGATGATAGCGGCGACATGAAGCTGCAAATTAATTCCCAAAACTGTCTCCACTGTAAGGTAAATATATTTTGGCATTTCTGTCTTTTCCAATCTGAATTTACTTCGAGAAGAATTCTGACTTATGATTAAGTAGAAGTGTGGAAGTAGAACTCGGAAAATCTAGATTAGTATAGGTTAATGTTTCTATTTTGCTGCTAATTCTTCAGGCATGTGATATCAAAGACCCAAAGCAAAACATCGTGTGGAAAGTCCCAGAAGGGGGTGGCGGCCCGGGATATTCTGTAATGTAGGATACCGTAGTTCTCAATTGTAACAGTCTATAATTGATGTAAATAATAATCTTAATGTTAAGCTTTATATATAATTTTGAGATTGCAACAGTTGCAAGGTTAGTCTTTGATTCTGTTTATTTTCTTGGTCCAAAACTCTTAAAAACCTGTAATCTTAGCAAACACTTGATATGAAATTTCTTAGAAAGATAGAGAAATTTTTTATTAATGATTATCAATAGAAGTAGTAGTACTATCTACATCAAATTTGTGGAGTAGTACCACCGTAGAAGATCAAACGTCCATATTTATAAGTCCATCCATAATCAATGATTCTATATTGCGGATCATCACTATACGTCTCAGTTTCTTTTGGGTCATAATCTTCCTTAAAATTTTCATCCAAAACTGTAATTTCATGAATAAGAGCGGCATATAATAATTCAGCGATACCGCGGTAACCATTTCCCATAGGTGGTAAAGGTTGATCGACAGGGCCAAATGCTTCGCCACCAAATGTTGCTGAATTTGCCAATCCATTGAATATCTTTCTCGGCCAAAACCCTTGTACGGTTTTCATATAGCCTGTTATAAGCCACCAATTCCCATCTTTCGGATCCTTTGTAATCACACATTAAACATACCAAGTATATACTATTAGTCCATAATTGACCATGTATCCAAGATATAAAGATTATGTTCAAATTACAGTATATAATTTTCTGAAAAGGACGATCTTTCAATAATTAACTACTTCATCCGTTTTTTTTCCTACCCTTCTACATAATCATCATGTTCTATTTTAGTAATAGGGCAGTATTTAAAAATCAAAAACTTATAGAAAAAAAAAAAAAAAAAAGAACTTTAATAGATTATTGATGCATAACTAAAAAAAACACAGTCAAGTATTTACCTTAAATACACTGAAGTACCGAGTACGTATGACTCCTCCTCTTTTTGACATTGGTTCAAGCACGACGTCAACAGGAAATTCATGGTTAACATTAACAAATCCAGGGCATAACATATTGAAACAATGTGATTGACCAGCCTATAAATTAACAAAAATAATGTAATTATATCATGGTTTTTTAAGTACAAATTTACAAAGCATCATTCAATTTATAGTTTGTTACAATGCATTTTTTGATTGCATACATGCTTGTTAGTGTAAACTAGTGTAAAACACGTTGCATCACACTCCCTCTAGTGTAAAACACGTTGCATCACACTCCCTCTAGTTTATGAGTACCAAAGATAATAGTTTATGAGTACCACTTAGAATTTTATAAAATTGAAGTTTACCAAAGAGAATTTCCCATTTTTCTACGTGACTTTTACTCTCATCAAAGAACCAATTTCTTTCTTTTCAACTTTCATCGCTCAAAACCCATGATTTAATCAATTTCCCAGTATATTTCATTTTAATTCATTAAATTCCTCCAATTTGGTTCACACCAATTACATAAACCCAAATATATCAAATTCCAATCTTTCTGATAATAATGGGCAATACTATGGCCCAAACCTGTAAAAAGTGTGTTCAAATTTGTATCATGAACAGATATATAGTTGAAAGTTATATTTTAATCTTGAAATTTGGAAATCTTGTGGTCTCTTTCCTTGCTCTACTTAGAAATTTGGCACAAAAAACCCCAGAATTAGCCAACTTGATTAGATATTATAAAAAGTTATGTATAAAGTATAAACAATATAATCAGCACGAGTCTTGTTTAAAAAAATAATAAGAAAGTACCAAATTTTTTTTTGTTATTTATATTTCATGGTTCAATTATACCGATTGCATATTGTTATTGTAGGGATTCTACTACTATTAGTGATAAATTAATCTGAATGTATAATTCTCTGTATTTCTCATTCATCACAATGGCCACATACAATACTGATTGGATAGTGTTATTGTGGGGATTCTGGTACTATTAGAGATATAAGCAAGATAACATAATAATTTCAATATAAGCAAAGAAAGTAAGAATTATATTGCGTTTAGGAAATTTAATATGGAGTACATACCAAAATTTAACCAAATTAATGCAGAAGAAAAACTTAAACAACAGAATAACCAAATCTAAAAGACTAGAATAATGGCAAACACTACTACTTGTATATTAGTCCCTTAGCATACTTGCACCCTTCAATGCTTGACTCCATTCAAACCATGAGCGAAGTACAAGAAAGTGGGGTCAGTAGCACCATCCTTGTAGTAAGCCATGACCGTGGCACCATCATCGTGCATACTCTCACCCACGAAAAACTGAAGATCATTGAGCTTCGACATCAGAAACTTAGTTGCTGCCTCGACGTTCTTCTTAAACTCATCAGCCTTATCACCCTCTAACTTGGCAGTCAAGTTCTTGATGTACCTCTTAACCCATCCAATAAACTGTTTCTTATCATAGGCAGGTTGTTCTTGCAGCCTAAAGTTGTCGACAATGTCGACAACCTTGACAGCCTCCTCATCATCAGCAACTTCTTCATCATCTCCTCCTTCGGCAGAAGGGTTGGCACCAATGTCGACTTCAATGTGACCGCCTTTCACAACCCACTTCCCTTCTACCTCCCATAGACACCCATTGAAGAGTTCGATGCACCGGTACGAGTCGGACCATAGCTCGTCGCCGCTAATGATATCCTCGTACACAATCATTGTTCTAGACGTTTTTTTTTTCTTCTTCTCTTCTAATTTGCTAAGAATAAGAATCAATCTAATACTATATTTTTTGTTGGTCTTAATGTGATATTGTTATGAGTATATATAGAGAAACTTAAACCGCCTTAAAAAGTAAGCTAATCCTAGAGAATTACAAATTTTGCAAAGGCATGGAAACTTTTCTTTCCTAAAATAAAACGGAGTGAAAAAATTAAGGAAACCTAACAAAGGTAACGTAGCATACAAGATATGTAATTTCCTAAACTATACATCAATCTCTTAAAACTTTAACAAAAAATTGATTATAGCTGCTAGAGTTTATTTTATTTCATAAACTTTACACTCTGTAACTTAGTTTTGGCTATATTTTCTATTTTTTTTTATTTAAATATATAGTGTGAATTGGAATTTGGATGATGTCCCTAGATATTGTTGAAATCAAAATTAATTCCTACTTTGCTTGTTTTAAAAATTTATTCCCTAAATGATGTCCACGTAGGATCGGATATTAATTTGTTTTTTTTTTCTTTGGTTATGTGCAAAACCGCAAGTAATGATAGCGGTTTTACATGTACAACCGCAATTGTTGCCTTGTTGGTACCGTTTGTATTTGTAGAAACAAATTATTATTATATCATATTCAAAGAAATTATTACTGTATAAATATGGAAAACACTATTAAATGTTTTTAATAATCAACCTTAAAGACTGTTAAATGTTTAATTATATGAACAAATCAATAGTTACAATGTTACATATACAACATTAAAGAGTATTTAATTATTCAACATCTAATAATACATATGCAACATTAAAGACTACTCCGTATTAAATGTCTTTATAAATATCCTTAAAAAAATGTCTTTATAAATAATCAATAATTTAATTAAATAAACACTATCAATGTTTCAAAAAAAATCTTGCTAACGAACGTCCCCGGGGCATTGGATATTCATTTAAAATATTGCCTAAAATGGTACTCCGTATTCATTTGGGAAAGCATGACAAAATCACGCGTCGATCGGTGTAATTAATATTCATTTTAATTTAATCTTTCTACTTTTAGCTAGCTTATGCCTTCAAAAAATTAATAATCTTGTACACCCTCTGTCCTTTTATTACATGCCTATTTTTCATTTTGCCTTCAAAAAATTAATAAACATGTACTCCCTCTATCCTTTTATTACATGTCTATTTTTCATTTTGTACGGGAATTAAGAAAGTTAAGGACTCCTTAAAACTAATAATTGGGAGTATAAATATGCATGTGGGTTTAGATAGAGATAGAGAGAAAGAAAAAGTGGTTGTGAATTACGAGAGAAAAAGAATTGGAAATTGATGTTAAAGTGAAAAAAAAAGACAAATTATCAAAAAAAAAATAAAAAAAAGAATATTGTAAAAAAAGTACAACCTATAAATAGAAACAAACATTTAATTTTGATCACCCAAACAAGGAATACAGACATGTAATAAAATAACAGAGGGAAGACTAAAGATGAATATCAAACAACACGTGTCAATATGCGGTAATTTTTTTTAAGGAAAATGTGATAAACATAGCTCTAAGGGCTATGAATAAGAAGCTAAAAAGAAAATATTGAGGATAAAGTAACATTAATTACACTGATATGCGCGTGATTTTGTCATTAATTCCCAACTTAATTCCATTTTAAGAAGTATATTAAATGCTTATATAGAGCCCTAAGGGCTACATATATTTTATTACCCTTTTTTTTAAAAAAAATAACATTACAAAGGTTGTAACATTAATTTTGACAATTCTAGGCTTTAAATGAAGATATAGTAGTGACTCCGCCACGTGGTAATTTAAAATAAAAAATTAAACGGGTGGTTAGTTTGAAAATGGTTACATTTTTGGGTGGTAATTTAAAAATTAACCTTATTATTAAGTTAAAATTTAACTTTTAATTTTTAATAGGAGAAGTACTCCCTTCGTACTATAATATAGTTATTGTTTGTATTTTTCACGGTATTTAAGAAATAGGAGGAGAAAGTAGATAAAGTACATTAATAAAAGTGAAAAGTGCAATCATAAAAGTTAGAAAGAGAAAGTGAAAGTGAAAAAAGGTACCAGACATGTGCAAAATTCAAGGGTAAATTAGGAAGTAAAATGAATAAAGTTAAAAAATAAGGGTATAATGGTCTTTACATACTATCTAAAAATAAAAACTGGAACAACATTTTGGTTCTCCAAAATAGAAAAACAAGAACTATATTATGGGACGGAAGGAGTAATTTTTAATATTGAAAAGGGCATTTTGGGAAAACACAAAATTGTCACCCAAGATGCCCTTTCCCTTTGTATACTTTCTCTGTTTTTTAGTTGATACATTTCTATTATTACGCTTGTCATTGATATTAATACTAGATTAGATCCCATGCCATGCACGGTGATCTATAAAAAATTTATTTGATCGAAATAAATATATTTTATAAATGTACCTCATATGAGGGCAAAAACTATATAGAGAGACATAACCATTAATAGTAATGGTATCCAAATCTAAATAATTTCAATACGGAGTACTCTTAAACCAAGAGTAATTATATTCGGAAGCCATTTATAAATCTATAATACTCCAATGTTAAAAAAAATAAATAGAAAATAACATAATATAATAACTGTCTTCCCAAAAAAAAAAAACTCCGTATATAATTTAAGGTAAAAAATAAAAAGGTTCAAAAAATAAGTAAAAATAAAGATAAGAATATGATTTCCGCAATTAATTTAAGCGGAATTTTTTTTTACCACAACTATTTAAATAGGGGATGATGTCAGCGGTTGTTACTTTAGTTATATTTATAGACTAGTTTTGTGCCCCGTGCGATGCCCGGGTTGTTTATTGAATTTTAAGATAAATTTATAATCTGTATATCAAATTTTAAATATATTATTGATACAAAATTATTTAGGAATTATTAATGTGCTTTTGTGACGATTTTCTATCTAGTAGGCATGTAATGACTAATAATAATGTTTGTGGAAATGTTTGATTTAATACATTAAAAAAAATAAAAAATTAGCAAAAAAATACATTAAATAAAATAAATATTCAAAACCCGTTGGGTTGACCCAAACCCAAAACTTTGGGCAAGGGTTGAACATTTCTTGACTCGTAACCTGAAGTGATCCAACTGAGATGACTCATGACCTGACCCTAATTGACAGGTCTACACAGCAATAAAATTCTATTAGATTGTGAAGTATATTATTTTTAACTGATTAATTAATATGTATTATAAATGTATGTTTTACACTATAAACTACTTCATTTGCTCCAAAAATATTATGATATAAAAAATAAATTTATATGATAATTTTTGAAAATAATAATCTAATAATTTTTGTAAATAAAATTATAATTCAATTTGTATTTTATCGAAAATAAAATTCTAAAATAACAATTTTATCGAAAATAAAATTCTATCCAAATAGAATTCTAAACTAACTTTAATTTTTTATTTATCTTATAATGTCTATTTAAATATATCCAATGTGGCACGACACTTGGCGTTGACACTTGGCGAAAAGTTGGAACGCCAAGTGTCGCTGCATGGCTAAAAGTTTTATGATTATTTATAGATTTCTAATTATCAATATTGTAAAATTATGAAAAGTGGATATTAATTAAATTTACATTGAAACGATTCAAATATCCCACATGAATATATTTTATTGTATCCATAAACACAAATGCGAATCAAAGAAGTGATGTGACCGTGTAAATAGTGTAAAAGTCAAATAATGTCAACTAAAAAATCGGAAGAACTATTACAATGTCTTAAAAAAAATAATATTATATTATCTAGGTCGCCATCATATTCTACAGAAAAAGTCTACATTTTTCTTTCATTTTCTCTCTCCTCAAAAAAGTTCGAATTTTGCCAACGTAATCTCCTTTTCTTCCCATTTCTTGTTTCTTGCTAACATCACAGATCTCTCACCTTCTATTTTTTTCCCCTGAATTCTTTTTAAATTTAATTAAATTTTCGTTTTCTTAGATCTAATTTCACCTTCAATCAATCATTTCCCCTAATTTGAATGATTTCTAGGGTTTATTTCATTCCCCCAAATCGATAATTTAGGGTTTCGAAATTCTGCATTAATGGACAAGGATCAGCTCGGCGGCGCCGGATTACCGCCGACGGGAAGATTCTCGTCGTTTTCTCCCTCTTCAACAACGTCACAAACGCAAACGACGTCGTTTAGCAATGATTTGAGTCGAATGCCGGATAATCCGCCGAAAAATATGGGTCATAGAAGAGCACATTCCGAGATTCTCACTCTTCCCGATGATATCAGCTTCGACAGTGATCTTGGCGTTGTCGGAGGTGGGCCTGATGGCCCGTCATTGTCGGATGAAACGGAGGAGGATTTGTTTTCTATGTACATTGATATGGACAAGGTGAATTCGGCGACTTCGGCGAATTCCGGGTTTCAGATTGGGGAGGGTTCGTCTGGGGCGGGGGCGGAAAAGGCGGTATCCGGGGGCGGGAGTGAGAGGCCGAGGGCGAGGCATCAGCATAGTCAATCAATGGATGGGACGACGTCGATTAAGCCGGAAATGCTTGTTCCTGGGGGTGATGAGGGTTCTCATGCTGATGCTAAGAAGGCAATGTCTGCTGCTAAGCTTGCGGAGCTTGCTCTTATTGATCCTAAGCGTGCTAAGAGGTAATTGCTGTTGAGAATTTGCCAATTTGTTGCCTTTTTTTATTCAATTAATTGTTTGTTTGATTAGTAGAAAGTTTTAGATTTTGAATGATTATTCTTGAGATGTTATGATGAAGAATTGCTCAAATGTTGGTGAAATGTGGCTTTAGAATTGCCCAATTTTTGAAATATTGTTTTCTTTCATGTTTTGGTTTGTTGTTTCTGTTTAGGCATGATAAATTCCATGGATATGTCTTTTTCTAGGCTGCTTTGATGATATATTGTACATGGTAATGTGTTGAACAAGTATCAGACCTTGACTATGGTTTGAATTGTGATTTATATTAAGAGCTGGTAATTCATATTTTGTGAATATACAATTATGGTATGTTGTCCAGCTTTTATGAGCATATAATGATTTTGGTAATTTAATGAGAGACATTATTGGGGTGAGCTCTATTTGGAAAGCATTGTCTGGCTCTTGAACTTGTAGTAAAATGTAATTATATTACCAATAAGTGTTTTATACATCATATTACAATTAAGTCACACCTTAAGACAAATTATTCAGGGGCTACGATGACGTAATTCTTGTGGGACATGGGCCTAATTCAAAAAATTAAATACCCACTTTGGGAGATAAACAACGGTTTAATCATCAATTCCATCATAAAATGAATTTAACCGTAAAAAATTAATAAGTTTTCAAAAGGGTGAAGTTAATTTTGAGGGACGAAGGATTTTGAATATTAATCGATCATGATAGAGATTTTGAATAAAAAAAGTAGAAAAAAAGATTTTTTTTTTTAACTTTTGAGATTGTAATTAATTTTGGAAGGTAGAAAGATTTTGGAAACTAGAATGAAATTGAGAAATTGTGGGAGAAAAAAAAAAATAGAAATTAAATTGGAAAATGAAAGTTTAGAATTATTTTTTTTAAAAAAAACTGAAATATTGCATGAATTTGGAGTTTGGGTGGAGATATAGAAGTAATATATATATATAAAAAACGATTTACTGGTTAAGGATTTGAACCCATGATCTCACAAATTATAATGGAGCACTAAACCATAGTATAAGCATTACATTTACATAGAATTATGAAACTAATATTGATATGTCCAAGTTTTTTGAGGCCCTTCGCACACCCCAAAGCATAGCTGAAAATACTATATACTAAAGTGAAACCTTTTGGAGGGAATTTTCCCTCCTATTCGTTTTGTTAATTAATTTTTAGTTTATTTGATAGTAATATAGTAATTCTTTCTGTGTTCAGTAAAATAAATATTGGCTTACATAAGATATATAAAGTATTCCCTTTTAAGAATTGAAAAAATAGCAATCGATTACCTGTTATATATATTCTACGGGTTGTATATTTGGCTTGGGTATTAACAACTCCCTCCGTCCCTAAAAGAACGACCCTTTTGGGGAGTTTTCACGGGCATTAAGAAACTTAAATGGGAAATACTAGTGTATGGGAAAGCTAATTAAACTATATTGAAAAAGTAAATTTAAAAGTACAGAGATTAAGTAATAAAAATACATGAAAAAGCAAAATTTACATGGGAAAGCTAATTTTGAACAAATATTATTGTAAATTGAAGGATATTTTAATGTAAATGAGATGAATATTTTGGGACTAAAATTTGACCAAAAGGGTCATTCTTTTAGGGATGGAAGGAGTAGTTGTTACCATAACATGATAGATAGGTGGATAGGCTAGTATAGGGAATTGGTTGGTTGGAACCTTGATGGCAAAGTAAATGAAGGAATAGTTGGCACTTTGCTTGATATGGCATTATGAATGGAAACAAAGTTGAGGGCAATTCGAATAAGATTCATTGTACTCTGTAAGAGCACTATGAAGATTTAATTATATGGTATTCTTATTTGAATCCAGAAGAGTATGTCATACATCATAATGAGTTTTATTAGCATAAGGTTGTAGGTTTAGATTTTATTCACATGTGATTGGTTTTGCAAAATATAAGAGTATCTATGACTTTACTTTCTTGAGATCCCATATATCCATGATTTTATATGTGAATGTTAACGGGACAATCTTTTTCTATAAATTTATAGGTAAATTTTCTGTTCATGTTTATTTGACTTAGGACCTACATAAAATATGTAGTACAATTTGTTTGCATAGCATATTTGTTAGTATGAGCTGAATAAACTGTGCACTTGATAGTTTGATACTTAGGAAAAACTTAAAATCTTAGCCAAAATAGGGGAAGGGGGTTGTACAATAATGTGTGGGTTTAAATTTGAATTTAAAAATTGGAACTCAAATTTTAGACCAATGAATAGGATAGTCCCCTATGAACCACAATCTTGCTTGCATGCTCAAAAATGTGGTTAATTTGTGAGGAGTGGGCTCAAGAGAATTGGGTAGCATAAGTTAAAATCAAGGCAAGTAGTTGTTTCATAATTTAACGGGTCATTCTGATTGATGTGTGCTTCATCTGTTTCAAAACTATTATTTCCACGTCATTTATTACAAAAGGCATGCGTTTAAGTGTTTTGGATGGTTCAGAAGTAGGCATTCAACTTTCAATTAGGACTATTTACTCCTCAAGACTATTTTGCAGCCCTCTCTCCACTTGCTCCAGATGAGTATTTTGCATACCTCTCTGCAAAGTTAATTTAAATTTCCCTACTTGGATGAATGTAAATACATGGACTGAAACCCGTACAGTGCATGCATGATTCAATTCCTATGTTTAAGGGACTTTGAAATTTCTAATTAAACTTCCTCTGTTGCAGAATAGTTGCAACACTTTTAGTTTAGCAATATTCATACACTTCTTCCATTTCATATTACTTGACACGTTTCTTTAGGCATGTTTGCCCATGCATAACTTCAAACATCAATATCTTCAATTATCAATAGGCAAAAACTATAATAAAAAATTGATATTCGAAAACAAAAAAGGTATGAACGTTGAAAACATGTTTTACAATTTTATTGAAAGCATTTGTTGTAATAAAATAAAATTTGAAGAATTTACTTTTATTTCAGATGTTTATTTTTAATATTTTTACTAATAGATAATTAAATATATGTGGTCAAAGTTACCATCTTGAAATAGTTTGTTAGGCTATTATAGTTGAGAGAATAGGGTAGCCCGAGGAGAACAAGGCTTATTGCTTTCAGATTTTGTATGTCTATTCCTATTAACATATAGATAAAATGGTCCAAGTTCCCGAGAGGTATTGGGTGATGAATCTTGCATACACTCTTTTTTTTGAGTATCAGTCCATGCATTTAACAATATTAACATTACACTAAATAGGGGATTTTAAACAAACCTCGCTGAGAGGGGTGCAAAATAATCGTGTAGTATAGAGTCCTAATTAAAAGTTGAATGGCTACTTTTATCCACCTAAAAGGCATGCCCTCATTCAGGATATCTGTTATAAATGGCATGGGAATCTTATCGTTCTACTTGCCATATAATATCATGTAAAATGTGAATGCCTGATTTTTATAAAGATCGTTGCAAATTTTTTTCGTATATGGTTGCCCTGCCATTATGGTGTGACCTTGACATGTGTTAATTTTGTGTTGCCAAGGGATATAAAGGCTTCTATTATCATAGTTTTTAATCCAATGCTAGGTTCTTTAACTCAATCAAATAGCTAGGTGAAAAAAATTCTTTTGTTTTTTAGCAATGCCAAAAGGCCCAAAAGATATGAACTCAACTCAAGCAAGGTTTTGTTTTGATTTGTCCATTTTGTATAATGTACAACGTGCTTTTAAGTTTATATGGTCGCTGCTTTCAATTTTCTCCCATTTGTTGCACATGTACATTGCCCAAGTTTTCTTTCTTTTTGCTTAATCCTGTTGTGTCACTCCTTTCTGGATAAATTTTTGACTCTTTGGAGTTCAGGAGAGTAATAAATTTCAAAATCTAATTCAGGAGGGTTTCACCTTATTGTGTCTCATTGGATTTTAAAGAAAACCATTGTTCAATTTTCTATTTTTTTTTAGGAGAGTGGGCATGAAGTCGTAATTTCTGCTTAAGCTTAATTTGACGTTATTGTTGAGGTTTTGCGATGCTGTTTGCTGATAATTATTCAAATAAATTGTTATATGTTGTATAAATGCTATTATGTATATATGGCACATAATTTTTTTGTATCTGGGGTTCTTGGGTTGCATTGGATCAAAAGAGCATTTGATGATAAATATGTTAGTGCTGAAGTCTTTTGGGACTTTAACATCTTTATAACTTTTATGGCTATAACGTGCTCTATATTTTTGCTGCAATTGCAACTAGGCCAAATTATCTGACTGTTAGTCTTCACTTTAATTATTGTTTCTACTTTGTTTTGCTCGAGTAGAATCTGGGCTAATAGGCAGTCAGCTGCAAGATCTAAGGAAAGGAAGATGAGATACATTGCTGAGCTAGAGCGCAAAGTCCAAACATTGCAAACTGAGGCTACCTCTTTGTCTGCTCAGTTGACCCTGCTGCAGGTAATAGGTCATTTGGGTGACTTTGATAAAGAGGCAGTTTTTTTAAATATACACTGCAGCTTTCAATCGGTCCTACTAGTTTACTTCATTTTCATTGCATCTTGCCTCAACTATAATTGTCTTTACTTTTATCTAGACCTGCTCTTTCTTTTCTTTTCTTTTTCCTTTTTAATCTGATGCATTTTTCTTTCCTCTCTTGTGAACTCTTAATATTGGTGAATTGATTAATACTCTACAGAGAGATACAAATGGCCTCAATGCTGAGAACAGTGAGTTGAAGCTGCGTCTGCAAACAATGGAGCAGCAGGTTCACTTGCAGGATGGTAAGAACCCATCTTTGCTTAATGCATTCCTCTCATCCAATATCTGTATTGCTTAGTTTTGGAGTGCTTTAAAATTATATAGAGGTTAATATTTTGTTGTCAAGGAGTCTCATTTATGTAAATTTCTGTAGGTGTTTTAGCAAATGAGAGAATTAACAATTTTTGATGGAAGCTTAATTTCACTTAGCAGCAGCTTTTTTTTGTCATTTTGTGGCAGATATTTGTACTGTTTTGTTGTGATGGATTTTTTTTTTCAGTGTCTTAAATTGGCTGTATATATGGGTTTACATTGCTAAAAGCCCTAAGAATCATATGACCATGTGTCCGCTATTATGGAGAATCAAGATTAGTCTAGTGGTTGAGGCCTTCCTTCCACCGCTGTGAGAGGGGTTTGATTCTCACCCTCATGCTAGTGGGATGCCTAATTTCCCCCTACTTGCAAGGGGATCTCCTTACCTTAAAAAAAAAAAGTGTCAGCCCTTATTACAAATGCTGTCTTACACAGTACATCAATACAGTGTCTTATGGGTTTTCTTGTCAATAGGATCTATGTTTCTGGTTGGACTAGTTCATTCTGTTATGGTCTGAATTATCTTTTAAGGACTGTATCTGCATGATTGCTAGTTAGGTAGTTACCTGATACAGATCTTACAGTGGAGTTGTAATACAGCCCTTCAACTCACTCCTTTGCCCCAAAATTCATGGACACTAAATGTGGAGATTTTTCCTGGATTTAAATTATGAGATGAGAAGCAAAATGTTGGGTCTTTTTCGAGTCCAGAGTTGACCGTTGATGGTCAGTCTGTGCTGGTTGTCACCGATTGTCCTCTTAATGCATTCAAATTCTGAAAATTTTAACCTTAATATTTACCAAACGATAAAACCATATCTTTTTTTTGGCTTTAGGCCTATATTATTTGTGGAAGAATCATTACGCAACTGTGGCTGCAGTGTAGAATGAAGAAGAATCACAAGATGGGGGTGTTGGGAATTCCATATAGAGGGCTCAGGCCCTTGAGGGAGGATAATTATTCCTGTGGTATGAGATTCCATTAGGTATTGAGTCCTTTTCATTGCTTCCTGTGAATCTGAAGTCCCTATCCTAACAGCCCCCGTAGAAGGTTGTAATGAGGCTTGTACTCTAAGTCTTGTCACCTCTGAGCTCTGACAACTGGGGAATAGATGAACTGATTTAGTTTATTTAAATTTTATGGGCTGTCATATTAGTAATGATACCCTATAAATCAATGAGCTCTGTTCTGTTGCTTCTTTGATTTATTTCTTTCAACAATAACATTTCGTTTTATGATTTTCTGGACTAATGCAGCATTAAATGAAGCGTTGAAAGAGGAGATTCAGCATTTAAAATTGGTGACTGGTCAAGCTATGTCCAATAGTGGGCCTATGATGAACTTTCCAGCTTCTTATGCAGCCAACCAGCCGTTTTACCCAAGCAACCAGGCAATGCATACTCTGATAACTGCACAGCAGTTTCAACAGCTACAGCTTCATTCTCAAAAGCAGCAGCAACAGTATCAACAGCATCAACTGCATCAGCTCCAGCAGCAACAATTGCAGCATCAAGAACCAACCCAGATGTCTCAGCATTCTGGTGATTACAAAATGAGGTCATCAATGTCATTATCCAAAGAAAATACATCAGATCCCATTTCTGGAGCATCAAAGGATTAAAGGTCATAAGGCATGGAGTTATTCTGCAATGAGTTCAATATAGTAAAATTATATCAGCAGGGATAACTTTGAGTTGTTTATGTAGTCTCTATACAAGTTTATATTGTTTGTAGTAAAATTACAGCTACAGTTGAAAAACTACAGGTAAAAATTGTTTGTAGGCATTGTGGGTATTGTGATTGGTCTTTGGGTGAGATGATGTAGGTTGTATCTTATCCAAGCATCGGAATTGTTTTGGAGTTATTATCTTTAGATGGATGTCGTAAAAGAGTTTAGAGAAATGCTCTATATATCTACATAGTTGATAGCAGGAGTGGGTAGTGATGGAGTGGTTTGAAGTCCAGTGTAGGGTGCATGTGATGGGTATTGATATTTTATAGTTAACTCATTCATTGTAAACAAAGATTCTAGCTGGTCTAAGCTTTATTCTAGCTTAGTTCATTAGTTACTAATCATTTAGCAAATTTTGATAAGCATAGGTAAATCTTGATCTTACAGATTGCACTTCTGAAGGCACTTGAAGAATTTTTCTGCAATCAAGATTTCTATGCTTGGAGATTATTCCAAGCTTTTTACTGATTTTGTATTAGTGGATAGAAAGGAAGGGGACGGAAACAACATTTGCTGGCCTGAATTCCTCTATTTGATGTCGTGTTATTTATGCTTTCATACTTTGTAGAGGAAGGCTACTTGCTTGCTGCCTGAAAGTTGGTAAGAGCTAATGAAGCTCAGCTTGATGTTTATTGTTTAATTTTGTAGCAATTTTTAACTTCTGAAATAAAAAAAAAAAAAACGATTGTGCATGTACACATATTTGTTTATTGTTATGCCTCCATGCCGGAAGAATCCGAAGCAATTCTCCGTCTTCAAACGGATATATACATATGGCACAATCTTGGTTAATAAATCCAGCCTGCCTATTTACATAGTATATATCTATTTGAAATCTCCTATATATTTTTTAGGGTAAAGTCCAGCGTAAATTACAGAAACGAAAAATAATATATGTTACTAAAACTATTACAACAATAATTGCTGATAAAATGGCTACAGCTTTTCTGATCGAGAGTCCGAATATATAACCGTTGTCGACAGGTTTTCCGTAGGCTACCGGTAAATTCGCAAGTTCCCTGAATTATGCACAAATTGACAGTTAAGACTCGGGTTCGTGAGAGGCTTGATCGCTTCATTGGTAACTCGGCTTGGTTAGACAAATTTTCTGGAATTTCGGCTCAACACCTACTGAGATATAAGTCTGACCATAATCCAATTTTATTGGAGCTCCGTACTCAGCGCAAAAAGAAAAGAAAGAAAAAAAAAGGAGTTTAGATTTGAAACGGGGTGGCTGCTAGACCCTGATTGTGAGAAGGTGGTGCGTGAGTGTTGGGATATGACTGTAAGAGAAGGGATGGAGTCTCGGCTTAGCTCGATGGTTGTTTCCCTTTCTAGTTGGGGAAGGGGAAAATTTGATGATTTGGGAAAGAAAATTACTGCAGAATAGCTCTTGAAAGCGGCACAAGAGGAGGGAGTGTCAGAGGAGTCGATAAGGGAATGTATGAGAATAGAGAAAGAGTTAGATGAGCTTCATGATCGACAAGAAGCCTATTGGTACATTTGATCGAGGTCCGCAAAAGTGAAGGATGGGGATAGGAATACTTCCTATTTTCATCATTAGGCTTCTCAGAGAAAGGCAAAGAATGAAATTAAAGGGCTTAAGGATGGGAATGGAGTCCTTCAGGAGGATGACGAGAGCATGCAAGAGATAGTAGTGGGCTATTGTAATAGCCTATTTTCGTCAGTGTTGCCATTCAATGCTGCCAAGAAGACGGGTTTTGAAGCCATTGACCCTCACTACAACAAAATAAAGCAAAGGTAACAGTGCAAAACCATTGCCTAATATAAAAAATGTGTTGTCTTGTAGCTAAGACAACACATATGAGGCATAATATATGCCCCCGTTGTCTATTCACAAGGCAACACATTTTTATTCAAAAGCAACAATTTTGAAAGCCAAGGTAAAATGATACATAAGGCAACACTTTTACAAGACAACAAATGAAAAATGTTGTCATCTAAGGAGATAATTAAAAAATGTTTCTAGATGTTGTCACTCCCAAGCATTTAGTAGTTGGTAGGGCCCGAACTTGTGACCTTAAAGTCACAAAGTGAGTTCCCCACCAACTCCACCAAATATTTTTAATATATATCTTAAATTATGTTGTCTTTTTAATACTACACTAGTGGAAAAAATCTCATTCGTAACAAGCTATTTATAACGGGCTCCGTAAGATCCAGTCGAGTGTGTGATTTTGCAGAATATAATCTAGATTATTATTTCTTGATTATTATTTAATTAATAGTTTGAATAGTATTGAAATGCATTCATTTCCTTTGCATTGACTTGATCTATGATACTATCGGAGTGAAACCAGGGATCTAAAGAACAATAGAGACTAGGCTATATTAGTAACAAGTAAACCCTTTATTTGTAATATAAATATATAATTTTCTATTTTATAGAAAGTCAAAATCTCCAAAATACTTGGAGATAAACACCAATTACAAGGTATGAGACGACCCAAAAAGCATTTGAGCATGATCAACTTTGTAAGCCTACTTGGGTGCTGAGCATTTATTTGTAAGAGCGGAATTTCTTTCCATGTATAATTACAACTTCGGAAAGTAGGATTTAAGAAATAGGTTCTTACAGGAAACCTTTTAGATGGATAAGATCCATATTCTGGATCCATTTGGTTCTTTTGATTCTTGCTCGAGCCGGATGATGAAAAATTCTCATGTCTGGTTCTTTCGGGGGATGAATTGAATCTCTAAGAAAAGAATTCACCTATCCTAATAACAAAAAAACCGTACTTGAATGATCCTGTATTAAGGGCTAAATTAGCGAAAGGCATGGGGCATAATTATTACGGGGAGCCCGCATGGCCTAATGATCTTTTATATATTTTTCCTGTAGTAATTTTAGGTACTATTGCGTGTAACGTAGGCTTGGCAGTTTTAGAACCATCAATGATTGGTGAGCCGGCGGATCCATTTGCAACCCCTTTGGAAATATTACATGAATGGTATTTTTTTCCTGTATTTCAAATACTTCGTACAGTACCAAATAAGTTATTAGGCGTTCTTTTAATGGTTTCAGTACCCGCGGGATTATTAACCGTTCCTTTTTTAGAAAATGTTAATAAATTCCAAAATCCATTTCGGCGTCCAGTAGCTACAACTGTATTTTTGGTTGGTACCGTAGTAGCCCTTTGGCTGGGTATTGGAGCAACATTACCTATTGATAAATCCCTAACTTTAGGTCTTTTTTAAATTGATTCAATTCTGAAATAATACGACGTGTGTATCTAGGGAATAGTCACTTCGAGGTGAATTTTCCCTAGATACATCTATTCAATTCATTTTTTTGTCATATTTTTTTTAATCAATTACGAAATGCTTTTCTAGAGTGCCAAATATTTGTTTTACGTCTTCTATGCGAAAATGCTCTATTTTAATAAGATCTTCTTGGCTGTTATTCAATAGGTCCGATAATGTGTGTATATTGGTTTTTTTGAGGCAATTGTAGATCCTAGGTGGCAATTCTAATTGGTCAATAAAAGTAAATTTCAATGCTATTTTTTTTTGTTTTTCCGTATTTCAGTCAATCTATTGTGAAAGGTAAAAGGGGGAAAGAAACTTTGGGTTGATTGTCCTCTAAATCTAAGTTTTCTTCTTTTGCATGTAAAAAAGGGATCAATAAATCAATTAAATTCCGGGAGGCTTCATAAAGTGATTCTTTTGGAGTTAAACTGCCATTTGTCCATATTTCAAGAAAAAGTATCTCTTGTTTTTCATTTCCATTTCCATAAGAATGAATACTATGATTCACGTTTCGAACAGGCATGAATAGAGCATCTATCGGATAATTTCCGTCTTGAAAGTTATGTGGCGCTTTTATATGATATCCGCGATTTCTCTCAAGTTGTAATCCAATACACAAGTCAATTGGTTCCGTCAAGCTAGCTATATGCTGTGTATTATCAACTATTTCTACATAAGGCGGCAAGATGATGTCTTGTGCAGTTACACATCTGGGGCCCCTAACGCAAATAGACGGCTCACAAGTTCCATATAGATTACTTCTTAATACTATTTCTATCAAATTCATGAAAATTTCATGTACTGATTCTTGAATACCTAATATGGCAGAGTATTCGTGTGGTATTTTTTCAGATTTTGCACGTGTGATACATGTTCCTTCTATTTCGCCAAGCAATGCTCTTCGCATCGCAATGCCTATTATATCAGCTTGACCTTTCATAAGTGGAGAGAGAATAAAGCGCCCATAATAAAGACATTTACTATCTGTTCTTGATTCAACACACTTCCACTGAAGTGTCCGAGTAGATACTCTTATTTTCTCTCGAACCATAGTAATATTTTAAAAAGTTGATCATATCTTTGAATCATTTATTTCTCTTGAAATATCTTCAATTCTGATTTCTACACACGTCTTTTTTTAGGAGGCCTACAGCCGTTATGGGGCATAGGAGTTACGTCTCGTACGAAACTTAACAGTATACCGCTTCTACGAATAGCCCGTAATGCTGCATCTCTTCCGAGACCAGGGCCCTTTATCATGACTTCGGCTCGTTGCATACCTTGTTCCAATACCGTACGAATAGCATTTCCTACTGCAGTTTGAGCCGCAAACGGTGTCCCTCTTTTTGTACCTCTGAATCCACAAGTACCGGAAGAAGACCAAGAAACTACTCGACCCCGTACATCTGTAACAGTCACAATGGTATTATTGAAACTTGCTTGAACATGAATAATTCCCTTTGGTATTTTACGTGCACTTTTACGCGAATTAATACGTCCATTTCTACGTGAACCAATTTTGGGTATAGGTTTTGCCATATTTTTTCATCTCATAAAAATAAGTCAACGATATATGGATATATCCATTTCATGTCAAAACAAATCCTTCCGTTTTTTTATATCAATCAAATCTTTTAGCAATTCTTTCTAGATAGTTCCTTTTAGTTTTTAGTATAGTAGTTATCCTTGTCGTTGTTTGTGTTTTGGGTTAGAACAAATTACTATAATTCGTCCTCGTCTGCGGATCAGCCGACATTTTTCACAAATTTGACGAACAAAAGCTCTTATTTTCATATTTTTTATTCCATTGTGTTTTTTTTTAATCTAATTCTTGGAAGAAAATAGGTTTTTGAATATTTTGAATCTCGAATTGTATTCTTATAGAAAGGAGTGTTGAAGTTGAAAAACTATCTAATCGTTCGAATCCTTGTTGCGGAGTCTATAAATTATACGACCTCTAGTTGAATCATAACGGCTTATTTCAATCTTAACTCTATCTCCCGGTAGGATTCGTATAGAACTACGTCGTATCCTTCCTGAAACGTAACCGAGAATAAGATCTTCATTATCTAAACGAACCCAGAACATACCATTAGGAAGTGATTCGGTAATCAAACCTTCATGAATCCATTTTTGTTCCTTCATTCCAGACAAAACCCCCTTAAAGTATCAACTAATAGAGGAATGATATTAGACAAGCTGTCTTTTCTCTTTTTTTGTTCACAAATCAAAAATTTTGGATCCAATTCAGATAGTATAGGGATTGCCATATATAACATAAAATTTCTCCACCAATTCGTTCTAGTCGAGCCTCTCGATCTGTCATTATACCTCTAGAGGTAGAAAGAATTGCAATCCCCATTCCACCTAAAATTCCAGGAATTCGTTGATAGTTAGAATAGATTCGTAGACCAGGTTGGCTGATCCTTTTTAAATGGAA